GTTTGAGGTTGCTGTGAGCTAGGCTGATGCCACGGCACTCACTGTAGCCCAGGGAAAAGAGTGAGACTCTGTCTCAAAAAAAAAAAAAAAAAATTACTGTCTGACTTTCGGCTCTTGGTTTCCTGATTGCATTGAAAGGAGGGCCTAGGTAAGCTTGCTTTCTGCTCGGCAATTGGTGGACTCTTTGATCAGTCGTCGAGGCCCAGGGTTGGGGCTTGCTGTGAGGCGAGTATTTCCCTGCTATTTGTGGGGATGGGAAAGAGCCTCGGAATGAAATGAGTTTCCGGCACGTGCCGTGTCTCAACCCAGGACTGCACTGGGCCAGGCACGCAGGACGGCTGCTGCCCACATGGATGCGGCGTGGCAGCTGTGTGCAAAAGAATCAGTTTCCACTTTAAATACTGAGGTAAGGAAGTGGTTAAAGAGTGACCCCAAGAAAATGAAAAGTGGGGAGCACCTTCTTACAAGTAAGGTTAATTCCTGAAAATCTAGCTCGTGATAGCTAATTTTAGGTAACTAGCTCAAGTTGCAGATGGTGATTAAGTGTATTCAAACCGGTATTTACCACTGTAACAACTAGCTCCTGGAGCACTCATGTTATTGTCTTGTGCAGTGGAGAATAATAGCAGGATTTCATACAGATTAAAAAATACCCTATAGCTCAGCCAAGAGGCCATGTTAAAATTGTCAGCATTCTGCAGTAATTACTTAACAGCTCAGGCGGGAAATTGATTATTTACCAGCAATAAGTAGCTGATTTGCGGGGAGCCAGACCCTTTCCCCAGTTAGAATGAAATCTCTCAGAAAATTCTCAGATCTTTTTTACTGTAAACTTTATGGCAATAATAAAAGAATTCGAGCTGAAAAGTCAAAGCACACAAAGGGAAAAGGTATTTTCCTCGACATCACCTAGCGGGATATAGGAGCAATCTGATCTCTCTTCTGTATTGTTGTCAGGGCAACTAAAGAATGTCTCATTTCTCTAAGTGGCTTTTTAAATGGTCTATCTTCCTAGAGTTAGAATGGAATCTTCACTATGTTTCTAAACTGCCAGAGAACTACAGGATTTGAGTTGCTGGAATCAACCTTGCTTTGATTTCAAGGCACTCCATAAGGGGGCGGTGCGAGGGGTGTGGTTCGGGGTGGAGGGGATCTCTGTTTGCCGTGCAGTTTCCTTGATGTTGGAGAACTCTAGTTTGGATTTCCTCAGCAATTAATGATAGCATCCATTCAAATACACTCATGAGGAGCTGGCAAACTTTCTTCTGTTTTTTTTTGTTTTTTTTTTTTTTGAGACAGAGTCTCACTGCGTTGCCTGGGCTAGAGTGCCGTGGCGTCATCCTAGCTCACAGCAACCTTGAACTCCTGGGCTCAAGCAATCCTCCTGCCTCAGCCTCCCGAGTAGCTGGGACTACAGGCATGTGCCACCATGCCCGGCTCATTTTTTCTATATTTTTTAGTTGTCCAGATCATTTCTTTCTATTTTTTAGTAGAGACGGGGTCTCGCTCTTGCTCAGGCTGGTCTCCAACTCCTGACCTTGAGCGATCCACCCACCTCGGCCTCCCAGAGTGCTAGGATTACAGGCGTGAGCCACCGCGCCCAGCCAAAAGGACATTTCTTGTACCTTTTGATATCTGAGTCATTACTGACAAGAAACAGAAATTCCATGCCCAGGCATTGGTCAGGTAAGTGGGAAAAAAGGTGTAATTAGAATATCACAGCTGTTTTAATGACAAAATAATATTAGTATAATTAAATTTTAGAAAGTTTCCCTTTTAAAACATACTCTGTGGGCTTTTGTTGCTATGTCATACTATTGCTGTTATTTTCAATGAAGATTTTAAAAATGTACATGTAGTTAATGCATTATTTACATGATTAATGCCACCAGATCCTCACCTGGGTATTTGTACATGTGCTTTGTAACTGTTTCAGCCTTTGCTATAAAAATGAGGTAGAAAGGCACGTACTGACGTATGCAACTGTCATGCCTGATAGGTACGATGTACACTCTCTGGGGGACGGACACGCATAACGTTGTCTCAAGCAGTACAAAAGCAATCCATGTAACCAAAACATTTGTACTCCCGTAATATTCTGAAATAAAAAAATAAAAAAAATAAAGTACGTAACTTATTTGAAAATTATTAAATGAATCAATAGCAGCTATGCTATACCACATTTTCTTTCATTACTAAATGATTAAATCATAGCCATATGTAATCTTTCAACAGTTGTAAATTTTCTGTACAGACATTTTGAAGCCAGAGATTTATTATTAAATTTTATTTTTTCCAGGGCCCTATCCCTAACTTACAGCTTACAAATCCAATTTTTCAGTTAATATATTCTCGGGAGAAGAAGGGAGGGAGGTTTCTAGGCATAATTTGGGCATCAGGTTTCTGAATATTTAAATATTCAGATATATAAAATACATTCAGAATATAAAATAAAGATGAAATATGTTTACAAAATGTGCAAATGGAGTATAGAAACAATGATGTCTCAAAACCAGGAAGTTTAGAAATTCTGGTTTCATTTTCAATCTGTGTTCATTTGTTTAAAGCAGAATTTACCAAATGCCTATCGTGTTCAGGTGCTATATTTTTAAGGAAAACTCAGTTTATTGGATGTGTGTATATCCATGTGTATGTATGTGTGTATGTGTGTTCGCACACATAAAACCACTACAGATTTCTCCATGGACTTAACAAATTCCGAAGCTAGATTTTTAAGATTTAACTAGAATGATTGGTTTTATTTATTCAATAATTATTGAATAAATTAATTCAATACATAAATTATGTATTTTCCTTTAAAATAGAAAGGGAATTTCTTTCTGTTTTGTAGTTTTGAAGATGTTGATAATTTGTTTGATGTATTTTTTGCAGTGTCCATTTATGGAATTTGGTTTTATGATAAGGAAGAATGCCAAAGAATTGCAGAGCTTATGAAAAAGTAAGTGCTGAAAGGCTGAGTATTTTTAGGGCCTGGTGCTTTTGTTTGTATTTCGAAGTGTATGTAATTACACTATAATCTTAACAGAATAGATCTTTTCCACAGTGGTCAGGAAAACATTTAATATTACTTAATAAATGAAAAATAGACATAAGAAGTGATTTGCTACATTTTCACTAGGTAAGATTTATCATCTAGAATGACTCGACTCATTTTTTTCTGCCTGTGTGAAATACATATGAGTTGTTCCAGATGGCAATTTTCTTTAATATTTTCCTCATTTGTACATTAGCAATTTTTTGCTTTGAAAAGTTATCAGTGTGTCTGTCAGTAAAAAGAACATTCAGAGCCATCCGAAAAGGCTGCTCCAGATTCTCTAAACCCTTTGCTTTCCTTCCTCCCCCAAATGCTTTCCTTAACTGTGTGTGTGTGTTTGCAGGAGCTCAGATTTCCTCCCATGTCTCAAACACTGCGTGCTAAAGATAGTCTTTATTTTTAATCCCTTTGGAAATTGCGGAGTTATTATTAGCTTAGTGATCAGTAGACACTCTCTCTCTCTCTCTCTCTCTCTCTCTCTCTCTCTCTTGTTTCCAGTCTCTTTTTTTTAATCTCATGATACCTTGTGTGTGATTTGTCCCATTCTGCATTTTGGGGACCTTTAAAATTACAGTCTGAGGCCAGGCGGGGTGGCTCACGCCTGTAATCCTAGCACTCTGGGAGGCCGAGGTGGGCAGATTGTTTGAGGTCAGGAGTTCGAAACCAGCCTGAGCAGGAGCGAGACCCCGTCTCTACCAAAAATAGAAAGAAATTAATCAGACAACTAAAAATATATAGAAAAAAAATTAGC